TGAGTTCTGGATGGCCCTGGATGGGTTCATTGCCACAATGAGTATTCAGTAAGTGCCTAAGGTGTGCATGGCACTGTCAGGCACCAGATGGAGAAAGACTGAGGGTAAATACAAAAGAAATGGGCAGGAGGGGAGAAAGACTTACCTACCCAGCTCTAGAATAAAACGTTCTGCAAAAGAGCAAGCCCTACACACAGGTAAAGAGCAAACACATCAGGTACTTTCATAAAAATGTGCTCAGCTTTTATACTAGCAGGCTCCTGGAGTAACATCATGAGTCCATAAAGCATTCTGACATTGTCACCACCCAGGATAAAATGATGAGACATTTTCAGCAAACAGGCAAGAAATAGGACATGCCTTTGTTGTGTTAATTGCAGGAGTTTAACAATGGGTAAAGGTAGAAGGGCTGTTTCCACATTTTACATTTCTATTTCACACTCAAATCCATTTTGTTAATTCTAAATTAAATAACTAATGGTTAGTGTTAGCACTGATTTGGGGGAAAAGGAAAATCAGAAGCTCAGGGGAACCATGAAAGCCCTCAGAGTAAACACCTAAGTTGCAATGAAACAAAGCCTTTCCAAGTGCAGACGGCTGCTGCACAAGGCTGACTCTAATTGGTGGCCTGAGCAAGGCCAGGGCAGCCACCCTACCCCCAATCCTCTTTTCAGAGTGAAAGCTGTCAAAGTCCCCACCACTGCCCATGGAACACTGAAATAAAGTTGACTGAATAAAAAAAACAATTAGACACTCATACAGATCCCACTCCCTGCCTGCATGGAGCCTGACAGATTCCTCACTCAAGCCAAAAGTGAGAACCAGAGAGTTCCAGCCTGACCTCTGGGTGCCCTCCAAACCAGCCAAGGTCATGTTCTCTCTCTGCTGAGGTCAATTTCTGTGTTTTGGAAGATGTAGTACAAACAAGATGGTTTACAAATGCTGCCCCTGGAGAGAACTTATTATTTTTCCCTTTGCAACCCCATTAACCTGCTTCTGTCCTCACAGACTGGGCGTGTGGGGAAGGCCTCAGGGAGGCCTCAGCACAGCAGCCATCACTTCCCTCTAGAGGTTACTGAAGAATCTGCAGAGCCTATGGGCCAATACGTGAGCCTGAGTCTGGGCTGAGATGTCATAACTATTAATAAGCTGCCCAGCCTGTGCTCCTGGAGCAACCTATCACAGAAATAACTATGTTCTCCTTCAGAGTCTAACCCGGCAACAGGCGCTGATGGGCAGCATCATGTGGGAGCTTATCTACTGCTGTCCCCTCCACGGTGACACCTGCAAATGGGCTGTAGACCATGATATCCAGAAGTTTCACAATTGCAGTGTGTTTGCCAAGTGGCACCAAGTTAGCCTGAAAGTGGGGTGCCCTTAATACCTCCCAATCTTGAAATACTTTTGCAATTCATCCACCTTGCTTTGGGGCCTAATGGCTTTTTGTTGGTGGAGGACCTAGTGCTAAATTTATTCATGATCCATAATGCCAATTAACCCCCAGGCAGGTGGTTTTGCCACTGTGCCCATATTAGAGAGAAAGGCAGACAGAGTCTCTAACCAGCAAGCCAGGCTGTTTGGAGTGCCATCTGCTAGCTCAGAGTCCCATTTCTCCCCCTGGGTCCCCATCTTCAATAGGCTCGAGTCCTCCTTTTATGCCTGAGATGGTGCCAGGCCCATTCCCACAAACTGCCCCTACCAGGTGCATTTACCTTCCTCGCCTCTGCTAGACACAGGAGCTGCCACACAGCCAGCTCTCTGTTCCGGATCCGCCATGGCAGGAAGACCCTTCAGCACAGGCAGTAGTGGGCTGGCACCAGTACAACAGACCTCTCCTTAGTGCGACTTTAGGGAACCTCACCTGATGATGCACCGAGGACTCTGCTGCCATTACCATGGAGAGCACCATTGTGCAAGTGCCTTCTGTGTGTGCACAGTAGCAAGCCACACACCTGGCCATGCCTGTCCCTCCTCTCTCCTTACCACATCCATAAACCCCTGATAGGTGTGACTGTGCAGGTGTGGACAGCAAAGGTGGTCACCGGAAGTCCAGAGGCCCAGGTGAAGGCCTCTGAAGAGCTCAAGCCTCTGGCTGTCCTCGGGGCCAGAGCAAAGGGCATCCCGCTGTCTTGTATTATGTGTGTTGACGGAGACCAGGCCACCTAACAAGGAAGCAGCCTGCCCCTGAGTCCGACATACCTCAGGCCTACCTGGTAAAGCGCGGGATTTCGTCGTTGAGGTTCACGACGTTCACCCGGAGTTCCGTGGAGGCTCTGAGGCCTCGGCTGTCCCTCACTCCCACAGTGAGATGGAAACTGTCAGGGAAACAGGCAAGGGAGAGAATC